TGATTTTTTCCTCCATCCGGTTTATGCACTCCAGGACCCTTATTCTGAATTCTTTTTCTGTCCTGTTGCATGCCTCTGTATCACTTAGCTGCTTTTTGGGCGAGTCCTCCTTTTCTTTCCTTTGGGGGTTTCTTTGTCTACCCAGGTTTGATCTCAATGACATATCTAGACATTGAGTCATTCATTGGCTGCTCCCTGGGTGGCTGTGGCTCCTTGGGCTGTGTTTGCACCTCGGGCAGTTGTGGTAGCAGGTGCTCCTCAGTTGGCAGCAGTTCCTCTGATGGGTGCTGTTCACAGGTTTGGTGGCTCTTCTGGCTGGTGGGGGAAGGCTTCACGTACAGCTGCTGATTCTCAGAGGGTGTGGTGATCAGGAGGCTGCTGTTGCTTGGATCTGCTGCATTGATTTAAGGGCACATAATACAACACAACAAGGCACAATGTACCTGGCACTGAACACAAATATATTCAAGATATTAATAACCCCAAATAAAGTTGACTGCCTGAATTAAGAGTATTAGGGGATAAGGAAGAAAGAAGAGAAAAAGATAAAAGAGAAAAAATAAAAAAAAAGAAGAAAGAAAAAAAAAGGAGTGTAAAAATGAAATTGGGAAAAAGGAGGGGAAAGAATAGAAAAAAGAAAGAGCGAAAAGAGAGAATGAAGTAGAAGAGGGGATGAGACTATTTATATGAGGAGAAAACTCCAATAGAACCGCCACTAATCCCAACAAATTCCAGCAACAGATCCCTGGAGATGAATGCAACTACAAACAACCAATAATATCAAGTGAGGCAAGGGAAAACAGAAGCACAAAAATACTGGGGGGTGGGGAGGAGGGAGGGGAAAAACTAGCAGAAAAAATTTAAAAGAAAAATAAAAAAAACCTCACAACCAATCCTAAAAAAAAACACAAAAAAACCCCAATATACTCAACAATCAAGCAAACAGCAACAACACAGTAGAAAGATAAAAGAAGAAAAACAATTTGGATAGTGAAGAAAGATAAGGGAGAGGCGTATAAGGATTTAGAGCAGTGGATTGGAAATAGGTTATATAAGTAGGGTGAAATTTTGACAGGGGGTAAAAAGAAGCAATAGGGAAAATCTAAAGCAGGAATATGGTAAGAGAAAAAGGACAACAAAAGGGGAAAAGTGAGGAAGAGGGTTTTAGCATAGAGGTAAAATTGAGGTAGAGAAAAATGATGCTAAAGGAATGATGAAAATAGAATGGAGAACAGTAATCCCAAAATAAAATAAATAGAAAATAAAATGGCACTTTAAAAAATGGTAAAATGGTAGCAGTAATAATACTGGTTAAAAATAAAAATGTAGTAATTAAAAGGGTGAAATCAGGTGATGGAAAAAGAAAAATAAATTGCTTTCTTAGTTAAAAGGTGAAAAAAGAATTAAAAAAAATTTTTCAGTAGTGAAGGTCCTTCAGTTCTTCTACTCTTCAGTCTGGCTCGCCTTAATCCTGCCAGGTATTCAGGAGAGTGTTGAATTTCCCTGTGATACACTGATCCTCCGTGTTGTAAACCACAGTCCTGATTTTAAAGCAGGCCGTATTTGTTTCCCAGACTGCCTTAATTTGTATTTACATCAGAGTCAGTTTGTGGGTCAGCCTCTGGGTAGCAGTGTTTCTGGATTGACCTCTACGGCTATATGACCTCTCTATCCTAAAGATGGGGTTTATTTTCTCTATTGCACTTAAAACTGGTTTGAGGAAGTCCACTGCCCAGAGCTGGTTCTTTAATTGTTCCCCCGCTCTGTTTCCCAGATTCCACAAAGACAACTTTCCCCTGCAGTCTCTGTGAGTGTCCCCAACTGGAAATCCCATGCACTGGTTTTAATTATCAAATGCAAAGATTTAAGGAGAAGAGAAAGAAGAAAAAAAGAAAAAACATAAACCAAAAAAAAAGCAAGAGCCTGCGGAGTTGCACAAATTTGCAACCCTGCACCTTCCAGCCCATGCAGTCTCTTGCGCGCGCCCTCTCTCTCCTTACATTGAGTAGCCTGTACACTGGCAAAATCTGAGGTTGCCTTTTTGCATCCAGTACAGCTATGGGCTAATTTTAAGCGTGCCCTTCTGCCAGCAGCCCTGTGGGAGCTATTCCACACTCGCGGATCACACTGGCCACAAAGGCCATGGTCTTTGTGGGGCGCAGACCTTCCCGTGCACACTCCTCTCCCCAACCTGAATTGCCAACTGCAACTTCAGGCAAGACCTGACCTTTCTGTGAGAAGCAGGACTCCACATAGTCGTGCTGTCCCAGATCCAGTGTCTCCGGCTTAGCAGCCAACCTCTGGATGCTGGGTCTTTGGGTGTACAGTATACGTTTCCAAAAAACAGCCACTCAAGATGGCGCGGTCTCCGCAGCTGAGCCAGCACTCAGAGAGAGATTTCAGCCTCAGTCTCCAACTTTCAGTCTGCTTTCTCCAGGATTCCTCTGCCATTCCCAGCTGCAAACTGTCTCTCAGCTGAATATCCTCTACTTATCTGGACTGTATGTTACCCGCTTCAGCTGCTTACCCTAACAGCTCCGGGACAAGGCATGGGACACGTCCGTCTATACCTCCGCCATTTTTTCTCCCCTCTAACATAGCAGAATTTTTACCGATACATCTCCTAGGGGCAAAGGAAATAAAGAAAACAATAAATAAATGGGACTACATCAAAATAAAAAGCTTTTGCACAGCAAAAGAAACCACCATCACAATGGGAGAACATAAATGTGATTCATCCGAATGTTCAACTGAGAAACAAATAAGCCAGTTTTCAATTATTGTCACAGGAGTCAAATAGGAAGAATGATAAGGGGTTAATATCCAAAATATATAAAAACTCATACAACTCAACAAAAGGAAGACAAACAATCCAATTACAAAATGATCAGAATACCTGAATAAACATTTCTCCAAAAAGGTCATACAAATGGCCAAGAGACATATGAAAAAAAATTTTAAGTCCCTAATCATCAGAAAAATGCAAATTAAAACCACAATGGGATATCACCTCATACCTGTCAGAATAGCTATCATGAAAAAAATCAACAAATGTGCTGGTGAGGTTGGGGTCAGGGAGAACACTAGTTCATTGCTGGTGGGAATGAAGATTGGTGCAGCCACTGTGAAAAACAGTATGAAATTTTCTCAAAAAATTAAAAATGACAGTTCCATTTGACCTGCTCCTGGGAATATATCCTAAAAAAAACCCCAAAACCAAAACACTAATCAGAAATAATATATGCACCCCTATCTTCATAGCAATGTTGTTTACAATAGCTAAGATCTAGAAATAGCCCAAGTTCCCATTAGTAGATAAATGGATTAAAATGCTGTGTGACATTTACACAATGGAATACTATGCAGCTGTAAAAAGAGAGACCTCTTACCCCTTGGGACACCATGGATGGTCCTGGAAAATATTATGCTAAGTGAAATAAGCCAATCTGAGAAAGACAAATATCCCATGATTTCACTTATTTGTGGAATCTAATGATCAAAATGAATTGAGCAATAAAATAAGACCTGAAGTATGGAGACATGGAACAGACTGACATATCTTGATGTGGGGTTGGGGAACAAGAAGAGATAAACCAAAGAACTTATATACTTACTAGAGGTCCAGTGCATGAAATTCGTATATGGGGGGGGGGGGTGTCCCTCAGCCTGGCCTGCACCCTCTCCAATCTGGGACCCCTCAGGGGATGTCCAGCAGTTGGACATCCCTCTTACAATCTGGGACTTCTGGCTCCTAACCACTCACCTGCCTGCCTGCCTGATTGCCCCCTAACTGCTCCCCTGCCGGCCTGGTCACCCTAACTGCCCTCCCCTGCTGGCCCAATCACCCCCAACTGCCCTTCCCTGCTGCTCTGATCACCCACTCCTCTGCTGGCCATCTTGTGGCAGCCATCTTGTGATGATGTGGGGGTGGCCATCTTGTGATGATGTGAGGGTATTGCACGAGAGTGCAAGGGCCACCTAGGCTTTTATTAGTATAGATATGCATAGCCCATGGACACAAGCAATATAGTGTGGTAAGGAGCTGAGAGGGGATGGGGACTGGGAGGGTGGAGTAAAGGGGGGTAAATGGGAGACATTTCTAATACTATAAACAATAAAAATATATATTAAATTTTTTATTTAAAGAACCAAATCCATCTAAGATATCAACACATGCACAGGCCTTAAGTGCTCCACATTCAGGAAAGGGGATTTGGGTTTGTTTTGAGAAAGGCTTATGAGCAGGGAGCCCCTCTCTGCCATCCCCAGTCACTTTTTCCCCACTGGCATTCACACTTCCTCATTCCCAGCGCCTCAGATTGTTTCAAACACACAGAGGCCATCTTCTTGGAGATAAACTGTGTGTGCTCACGCATGATTCTATATGCTGGGAGCAGGGAATGGAGGAGTGTCTGGCAAAGCAGACAAATGAGAGAACAAGAGCAGGCCCCTCCCCTCTCATTTCATCTCCTTTCTTTTTTATTGTTTTCTTGTTTGGGAGAGTAGAGCACTCTCTTCCTCAATGTTCCCCTCACACACATTTAATGAGCACTATTTTCACTCTTTTTATTTACTGACCAGTAACCCCAAGGGTAGGCCTTGTCTGTTCTCAGAGATAAAGTTTTATCATGCTGAACAAGCACCATTCTCTTTGTTTTTCACAGTGTTTCAGAGAGATAAGAGGAAACCACCCAGTAATGATGCATGATTGGGGAGGTTTTGAAATATAAACTCATTCTCTATTCTGAGCTGTGGATTAGGAATGGGAAGAACAGGAGACTGTACCACATATAATGTAAGTCAATTTTGTTTTCTGAGTTGAAAACAAGCAGGTGAACACACAGAGAGAGAAAGATGAATAAATGTTCAACTGAGAAACGAATAAGCCAGTTTTCAATTATTGGCACAGGAGTCAAATGGGGAGAATTTTAGTAATTCAAATGAGAACATACCCCAAAAATTCAGTGACCTTTTCCTATCACAAAAACTCCCTCTTTCACATGGTTTTAAGACTAATATTGGCAGATAGGACCAAAGTTCAGTTGAACAGCCAGATATATTCCCAGGAAAATATGGGATATGACCAGGTTAGACTCCTATTAAGTTTATGTCCTTCAGGGTTTAGCAGGTTTCTGTGAGTGAGCCAAGATGGAGAGGTTGATATGAGACTGGTGATGCCAGATATTGAGTAAGACTAAACCTAAGATCAATTGGTACTGATAAAGGCCTAAAGAGTAAGATGTTTTTAATAGCAAATGGAAAATTTTAGTAGTAAATTGAAAAGATGCAGAGTAGGAAATAATTTAGGAGAAATTTTGTTTTTCAGCTAAGAAAAGATCTGAGATTGAACCCTGAAATGATACTAGGAATGCATGGGAAGGTAGGGTGTTTGGGAATTTTTGGCAGAAAGGAGGAGTAAAGCCAAGAGACAAAATTTGTAGCTAATAAAAGGAAAATTTAAGTAAAGAAAACCACAACAAAATTGTTTCTGAGCAGCCAGTTGGAAACCAAGCAGACAGTAAAATTCTAGTCAAGCTGAGTAGTGTTTCATTGTCTGCATGCTATACTCTGCATTACTGTTTCTCTCCATCCCTAGGGTCATGAACTTTAATTGCTCTATTTTTTCTCTCCAGTGCTGATTAGTATGTTCCCTGTAAGGAAAAATATGTCCTAGGCTTTCTAGAATTTCCCCCACAATACCTAGCATGAGGCCTTACTGGAATAGTAGCTCAGTAAATGTTAATTGGCAGAATTAATGAACAGCTTTCACTTTATGTAATTACTTTTCCAAATTAAATACTAGATTTTAGTATGCCCAAACCTAGATTATATTTTACCCTTCTAATGTTGGGTAAATCAGAGGAGAAAGTTATGAATTAAGAAGTCATTAATATTTCATTTCAAAAGGAATTAGTGAGTCAAATGGCAGAAAGCAGGTAGGAAAATAAAATTTGATGTCTTAGGAGAGAGGTAAAAAATCCAAGACACTTTTTTTCCTTGATCCCAGATTCAATCAATCAGGCCAAGGCCAAACTTTAAAATTTAGGTAGTGTGTGTGTGTGTGTGTGTGTGTGTGTGTGTGTGTGTGTGTGTTTACTCTGACTGGTACTTTTCTTATGCAGGTCTGCCTTTTGGAAAGATTGACTTTATGAAAGCTGAGGTCTTGTCTATTTTGTTCACTGTTGTATCTCCAGCATCTAGAGTAGGCTTTCCTGCCATATAGTACTGATTTAAGAAATAATTGTGGAAGGAAAGGAAAGAGGGATGGACTAGTGAGGTTATAGAGGGAATAAAGGAAAGAGGGGAAGGAGGGTTCTGCATTTCATGCCACTAAACAGGGCACTTACTCATCAGTCACCAAAGACCCTTCTCAGTTTCTGTGTTAGGAAACAAGGATACCAAAATGATGAGATGCCATAATCTTTGCCCTCAAATAACTGATTGTTTAGTAGAGAGATATAATACACCAGGTGGTAAGTGCTACACCAAAGAGTTTTGGTGATACAGGATTGTGCTAAAGGGAGCATCTGACGTGCCCAGAGGAAGAGTGGGAGACAGAAAACATTGCAAACCTGAGTATCTATAATTATAAAAGCATAATATGCAAATCAACCAAATGGCCAAATAGCAGAACGACGTTCCAGATGACCACATTATGACACACACTGGCGCCAGGTCAGCCAAGGCGGGTACGATGCAATTGGTGGGGGGGAGGCGCCATTGCCCCATGATCACCCCACAGAGGAAGGCCCAAGCCACCAGCCAGCAGGGCGATCAATTGGGGGGCTACGATTGCCTCAAAGAGGGAGGCCCAGGCCACACTCTACAGGGCAATCAATTGGGGGGGGGGGGCTCCATGGAATCACAGAACCAGTGGTGTGTGGTGGTGGATGCGGGCAGCACCAGGCCAAAGTGGGTGTGAGCGAGGGACAGGGCCACGAAGCTGTGAAGCCGGCAGCAGGGAAGGAAGGCCTACCCTTGCATGAATTTCATGCATTGGGCCTCTAGTAATCCTAATAAACTCACTGGTGCTTTGTAGGCTTAAGAACATTTTAATCTCTATAGTCTTAAAAATGTGGTTAGATTGAATAAAATAATAACAACTGCAAATCATTGCATTTTAGCTATAATCAATTCAGAATCATTTTGATATTAAAAGTTATTTTGCTTTGGTACTTATTGGACTTTGGTTTTATTCAGGAATGCCAAAGGCCACAAGTGAGTCTGTCATACAGCAGCTTATCATAGAATTGTGGCTTTATGAGCACTGTCTAAATGACACAAATTGAAGGCCCATTGTCTGGACCAGACCTGCACCATGCACCAGGAGTAAAATCACAATTGATTAGGACCAGTCTTTGTTCTTTTCTGAGCAAATTTTCTGAAGAGGGTAGAAAAATGACAAGGAGAGAATCAGTGGTTAAAAAAAAAAAGTTATGATTGGCAAAGCTTATATACACCTAGGAAAAGATATTTGGGGGATATGTTCATTGATTTTTAAGCAAGAGAATCCAGTGTCTAAGGAAAAAAGATCCTGATTTGACTTTTGCTTCTTGATTTCCTTACACAGGTGCTGACTCCAGCACAGATCAAATCAATTTGCCAAGCAATTCTTGACTCCGGAAAGCAACATGCCATGAAAAAGAGGAAACCATTCCCTCTGATGTATTCTTACTATGGATCTGAATACTTGGGTGAGTCAAGGTGCTGGCAAAAGATGGAGTCTCTAATATCAGCATTGACTAAATACTGGAAAATCTGTTTTTGAGATAGCTCATCATTACTCATTTAAGTAGAAATATATTAAAATGTCATTAAAAACAAATAGTGATCAATTTAATATTTGTTTCCATAGTCTACCTGATGCAAACATAGCTATTTTAACAATTACTTTCCTTATTCTAAATTGTGAGTTCATTGGCCTAAGTTTGCTGAGTTTGTGAATAGTTCACACACCTATTGCAAATAGTGCCTCTGCACAGGGAAATAGGATTCAGCCATTAACATTCTCAAGTTTTAATATTAGTTGAGTAATAAAAGACTGCTGAATAACAATGGTGACTTTTGAGGTATGGGGCATGTAACTGAAAATTAGTTACTCTCCTTACCCCTGAGCATGACTTGGAAGGCTCTTTGTAGATCACCTGTCTCCTTCTCCAAACTCAGACTTTATCTCTCCCCCTTGCTGGTTCTGTCCAGCATAATCTACTATAAGCAAAATGTTCTCATGTCTTAACCTTTGTGCCTGCTTCTTTTGCCTAGAATGTCTGACTTCCTCTAACCCCTTCATCTATCTGTAATACTTATACCCAGACTTCAAGACTCTATTCAAACATCATTAGATCTGTTGAGAAACTTTGTGCTTTGGGGAAATGGATTTATTGAACCCTCTCTAGAGAAATGTTCACCAGTTCAGGTTTTGCTCTGAAACAAAATTGGCTCATATCACATTACCCTGCCACATTTCTATTGGAGCCCTTATCACATTAGACTGTATAATTAGTGGCTTACCTGTCCGACTGCCTTAATGGGCTCTGTGCACCTACAGGATAAGGCCTTTCGCTTATCTTTTGATCTCTGGACCTTTACCAAGAGCTTGTACAAAATGAGGGTACCCAAATGAATGAATAAATGACTGATAAACAATGAGCTTATAGATCAGCAGTTCTCTGAGAGTTTTCTAAAAGAATCTTTAAGTTCCTGTCTAACTTTCCTTAGAATCAGACCTTGAGACAAGATGTAAATGGTTTAATTGGGAAGTGATCAGAGAAAGTGTTGGTAGAAGAATGAGACAGTAAGACAGGGTAGACAAATAAGTGAATATGTAGTAATGAGAAATTGTGGCTAACTGAGGCTCAATGCCACTGGGGATTCTTAGAGATTTTATAGAACATGCATCAGAATTGTCCCAGCCAAAGCTGGGGTATTCATCCACCAACTCCCTACTTTGATCAATAAAGAAGGGATTTAGTCTGTTTTGTTCACTGATCTATATTCATTCAGCCGCTAAACAATATCTGGCACATAGTAGCAATTCAGATAATAATGAGTATGAGACCTGGGCTGCCATGGCAATTAATTATTATGTTTTTAATGAATAATAAATGAGTAATGAATGAATGTTTAGGATACCAAGAACAAATTATTTTCAAGCACTTTAAGAGCATTTTCATAAAAGCTATCAATATGATAATTACAATTTAAAAAATATTTTCTCTAAAATGGGTTGATTACTAAACTTTTGTTTTATTTATTTATTTATTTATTATTTTGTTAATATTCATCTAAGGATATTTTACCATTGATTTTTAGAGAGAGTGGAAAGGAGGGAGAGAGACAGAGAGAGAAATATGTATGTGAGAGAGACACATCAATTGGTTGCAGGGCCAGAGATCAAGCCTACAACCAAGGAAAGTGTCCTGGACTGGAATCAGACCCAGGAATCCTCAGTCCTCGGGCAACACTCTATCCACAGTCCAAACCAGGTAGGGCTGAGCTGTTTTTTTAAAGAATAAATAATACATATTTTAGGCTTTTTGGGCCCTATGGTCTCTTTCACAAATACAACTCCACCATTGCAGCACAAAAGCTGCCATAGACAATAGATCAATGAATGAGCATGGTGTGTTTCAATAAAACTTTACTTGAGCAATGAAAACTAAAGAGAAAATAAACAAATGGGACTACATCAAAATAATAAGCTATGAACAGCAAAAGAAACCATCAACAAAACAACAAGAGAGACCACTGCATGGGAGAACATATTTGCCAATGTTATCACTAATAAAGGTTTAATCTCCAACATTTACAGGGAACTCATACAACTAAACAAAAGGAAGATAAATAACCCAATCAAAAATGGGCAGTGGACCTAAATAGAAACTTTTCAAAAGAAGACAGAAGGAAGGCCAAGAGACATATGAAAACATGCTCAAAGTCACTAATCATCCTAGAGATGCAAATCAAAACAACAATGCGGTACCATCTCACACCTATCAGAATGGCTATCATCAACAAATCAACAAACAACAAGTGCTGGCGAGGATGTGGAGAAAAAGGAACCCTTCTGCACTGCTGATGGGAATGCAGACTGGTTCAGCCACTGTGGAGAACAGTATGGAGTTTCCTCAAAAAACTAAAAATGGAGCTCCCATTTGACCCAGTGATTTCACTTCTAGGAATATACCCTGAGAAACTTGAAACACCAATTAGAAAGGATATATGCACCCCTATGTTCATAGCAGCACAATTCACCATAGCTAAGATTGTGCCCATCAGTAGATGAATGGATTAGAAAACTGTGGTACATCTACACAATGGAATACTACACTGCAGTGAAAAAGGAGTTCTTACCATATGCAACAGCATGGATGGAACTGGAGAGCATTATGCTAAGTGAAATAAGCCAGTCAGAGAAGGATAAATACAACATGATCTCACTCATTTGTGGAATATAATGAACAACATAAACTGATGAACAAGAACAGATCCAGAGATGGAGGGGCATCGATCGGACTGTTGGCCCTCGGAAGGAAGGTAAGGGAGGGTGGGAGTAAGGGGGAGAGATCAACCAAAGGACTTATATACAAGCATATAGGCCTAAGCAATGGGCATGGACAACAGGGGGGTGAGGGCATGAGTGGGGGGAATAGAGGGTAACATGGGGATAAGGACACATATGTAATAACTTAATCAATAAAAAAGTACAAAAATTAAAAAATAAAACTTTATTTACAGCTCTAGTCAGTTTGCTCAGTGGTTAGAGCATTGGCCCTTGGACTGAAGAAGGGTCATGGGTTTGATTCTGGTCATGGGCCATACCTTTGTTGCAGACTCGATCCCTGACCCCAGTCCAGGCATGAGTGGAAGGCAGCCAATCAATGTGTCTCTCTCACATCGATGTTTCTCTCTGTCTCTACCCTTCCCTTCTACTCTCTCTAAAATGAAATGGAAAAAATATCTTTGGGTGAATATTAATTTTTAAAAAGTTAAAAAATAACTTTATTTACAAAAACAGGCAGTGAGCCAGATTTGGCCTACAAGCTATAGTTTGCTGACTCCTGCTTTAACCCATGTTTTATCAGAAGCCTAATTTTTTGACAACTCAACTATTATATCACTATGTGTGCTTGGAAGTAATTTGCCATTCCTTTTATTTTTACTACTAGAGGCCTGGTGCACGAATTCGTGCACCGGTGGGGTCCCTCAGCCTGGCCTGTGCCCTCTCACAATCAGGAACCCCTCGGGGGATGTCAGAGAGCAGGTTTAGGCCCAATCCCTGCAGATCAGGCCAAGGGACCCCACCAGTGCATGGCACCGGGCCTCTAGTATGCATATAAGATCTTTTTTTTAAAATTTTTTTAAAATATATTTTTTATTGATTTTTTTTACAGAGAAGAAGGGAGAGGGATAGAGAGTTAGGAACATCAATGAGAGAGAAACATCAATCAGCTGCCTCCTGCACACTCCTTACTGGGGATGTGCCCTCAACCAAGGTACATGCCCTTGACCGGAATCGAACCTGGGACCCTTGAGTCTGCAGGCCGACGCTGTACCCACTGAACCAAACTGGGTAGGGCTGCTTATAAGATCTTTGGTTAATATCTTTCTGCCTTCTCCCCTCCTCCCTTCCCTCTGAGATTCATCCCTCTGTTACATGTTTCCAAGGCTGTAGTTTCTGCTCCTGTGTTGAGCATCTGACCCCTGGTGGTCAGTGCACATCATAGCTACTGGCCATTGGCCAGTTGACCAGTTGGCTGGTTGCTTATGCTTTTATATATTATAGATGATTGTCTTAACAGTAAATTAAACTGTGTGTATTAATTATGCTTTGTTTGTCAATATAGGAGCAACTCATGGCCTATCATCCATTCTCCAGATGCTTCTTTCTTACTATGAGCACATCAAGCCCTCAGATCAGGAGCTTGTATGGCAGAGTGTGGACTTCCTCATGGAGCAGGAGCAGAACTGCAACTGGCCACCTGAGCTTGGCGAGGCCATTGAGAGAGAGAACGAGCTGGTACACTGGTGCCATGGCGCCCCAGGTCTCACACTCATTATTATCTGAAAACAATGCCTTTCATCAAGCTTAGATAAAGACAGATGTATTTTCTGAAAAGTGAGGTTATTTCTCATCTTATTTCATTACTACATGAGATAAAAAGGTCAATATGAAATTTTTTTAAATGGTATTTATTAAATTGATTGGGCTGACATTGGTCAACATGAACATATAGGTTCCATGTGTCAATTTTTATGTTACAAGATCTGTATATTGCACCATGTACCCACCACCCAAAGTCAAATCTTCTCCTGTAACTTCATATTAGGACTCCCTTCTCCCCCCCACTCCCTTCTCTCTGGCAACCACCACTCTTCTGTTTATGTTCATAAGTTTCAGATTTATGTTGCACATATGAGTGAAATCATATGGTTCTTAGCTTTTTCTGTCTGACTTACTTCACTTAGCATAATGTTCTCAAGGTCCATCCATGTTGTTGCAAATGGTGCTATTTCATCCTTTCTTATGGCTGAGTAGTATTCCATTGTGTGTATGCACCACATCTCCTTTATCCAGTCCTCTATCACAGGACGGTGTGGCGCATACTTTTTCTCACTAAATGCAATAAAGTATAGCAGGCATATTCATATGACTTCGTCATAGCCTTAATGATTCTGGAATAAAGGACAAAAGTCATTTTAAAGCCATTAAAACAAATGCTGTGGCTAAAATAAACTCTATATTGCATTATGTTACATCATCCCTGTGGTAATACTGACAGGGCATTTCCTTTCCTCTGTGTGAAACACAGGTGTGGCTATTTTAAAAAATAATTCCACAAGGACACCTGGGTAGGTAACTTTGAATTGAGAACAAGAAGGGCTTGTGCAGTACAGATGTTGCGGTCACTAAGCTTTGTAATGCAATGCAATACCTGACTGCATGAAATTATTGATCCCAGGATGGACCTGCCTGGTGATCCCCAGTATGTTGAAACTGTATATGCCAAGTCTGGCTGTCACAAGGCTGTGCTAAATTGTATGTTTTCAAATATCTAATCTCTAAAATCATAGTTCTTAACTAATAATTCCCTCCTCTAATTGTCTTTGGCAAAGGCATATATTGTTGCTGACTCAGGATTTTATTTTGTTATCACTGCACCTTAGCATTCCCATGATGAAATGTCACAGTTCCCATAAAAATCAAAGAAATCCAACATTCCTTCCTTTTATACTAATCAGTCTTATTGTGGATTTCATTAGGTCCGGTTAGGAGACAATAGATTTAGAAGAGTTCCAACGTTCTTTCCATGTACCATTCCATGACCCAAACTGCAGGAAGAGGATATTTCTCTCTTGCCAGAACCATAGGATCAATACCTATTATCTGTCTGGGATTAATGGCCTGGTATAGTAATTGGACCATCTCAGCACTTCTTCCTTTCACAGCTCTCATCTTCACTCAGTGTTGGACTGTGTTGGGATGAAAAATGAGACATTACAGGGTCAGTAGACATTTGTGAACCCATTGCCATGTGTTACAAATTAGGGGAGCAAAATTGAACAAGAAAGAGGTCCTGCCCTTGGGAAGTTTGCACTAGGTGAGGCAGATATGCTCACAGAAAATTTTAATATGATACTGTATAAGTGCTAAGGTTTGTATAGGGAGTGATGGGAGCTAAGAGAAGTGATTTCTGGTATTTCTCCAGGTTCAGGGAATGCTTCCTGAAGGAGGTGATGCCTGAGATAAGTTGACCAGGCCAAGAAAGGTGGAAAAATTGTTTTTAAAAAAGTCAGTCAGGGGCATGAGACCATATAGTGAAGGAAGGGTAACTATGAATAGTTTAGTTTTACCAAAGTGGAAAGCGTTAAGTAGGGAATAGAGGAAAAATAGCAGGAGAACAGAGTAGGGAGCTGGGTCACAAAGGGCTTTCTATGTCTCATCTGGAGACTAGCTTCACCTGGATTTTGAGGGGAAGCTAAGAGGCACAGATTACACCACGGAATTGGTTTGTCTTTTGTCTTAAGGCTAAGATTTTGTACCCCTGTGTAAGTCACTGGCTGAAATCTTCTCGGGGGTGGGCACATAGCCTAGCCTCCCATTTGGCTGAGGGCAAATCTTCCAAGAAGAGGGAAGCTGTGAACTTTGTTAGCAGCCAGCTCATAGCAACTGGGAGATGGGTGCACCTGCTGTCAAGGTCAAGGAGATCCAGCAGAGCACCAAGGGCCTTCAATTCACCTGGCTAATTTCTCCTCAACCTTTGGTACTCAGGATAGATGGTGCCACTCCCCCTCATGGGCCTTTCATACCTGCAGGTGTGGGTTCAGAGCCTTCCTGTGTGCTTCAACATAGTCTAATTTTCCCCTTCACATAGCCTAATTAATGCCTCTAGTTAGGTGGTATACACTATGAAGGCAGAGGCTTTTTAAAACCTTGGCATCTACTACTGTGCCTGGCATATAGTAGGTATTCAATGAATATCTAAACAGCTACCAAATCCTGTGAGCTGTCTCTTTCATTAGCCTCTTTGCCATCTTTCTGCCAACATGATTAGTTCATAGCTATCCCATTGCCCTTCTTTAGGTATCTCCTGACACCAGTGTGGGCCATTTGGTCTATAATACTAATCACATCATTAAAAATAAAAAGCATCCAATCCCCAACCAAAAAACTTCCACTGGTTGGTTTCCTGTTGCCCACAGAATACAGTCCAAATGACTAATTTGATTTGTAAAACCATTCTTAATGTGAACCCAGTCTATCCTTCCAACCCTCTGTCCTGTTGGTTAGAATACTGCTCAACTGGTCTTCATGTAGCTTGTTTGTCCAGGCTCTGAATCTTTGCCCTTGCTGATCTTGATACCTAAAAAGCTCTCTCTCCCTAACCTTGAGCCTGGAATTTCCTATGCATCCTACAAAGTCCTGAAGAAAAACCTACTTCACTTGACTGTCTCCTTCAGGGAACTTGCACTTTTCCAGTCCCTCTAGTATAATTGACAGTATCATTCATTTTATTCTCCAAAACCATAATGAACTACATTTCCTATTATGTGTTAGTCACATGTATATAATTTTCCCTCCCTTTCTAGACATTGCCTTCCTGAAGGGCAAGAGTCATGTTTAGCACTTATTTTGTAACACTCAGGGCCAGGACTTGCTACATAATTTGAAAATGATTTTAAAAACTATTAAGAATTTCAAGATGGCAACAGCAGAGCATTAAACACAGCATCAGATCCTTGTGAGACTGTACAGGTTACATGCCCATGAAGCCAGCCATGCTATGCATACAGTAGATAATCAATGAACACTTTCAAATGAACAGATACAGTGAATGAATATATAGGACGTTCCCCAAAATGTGTACACACACACTTTGAATAATTGTAAGGGCAGTTTTTATTAAAATACATTTCATTTTCAAGATTGAGCTATCGGCTGTTGAAGTGTGTATATATATTCTGGGACACCCTGTATATATAACTAAATAAGTTCATTTCTTTTAAAATCATCCTTTAGTTGGTGGGAGACACTTTGTTCCTAAAACTGAAGAACAATTCTATAGATGACCATTTTCAGTGGTTGATTGGAAAGCATTAGCTGAAGAGAGCCTGTTATGTAAGTGTTAATCAAAGAAAGTGTTAAAGGATAGTTTTAAAAGAGAATAAATTCATGAGTCTCAGACAAATATAAATACATGAATGATTTTATTTGCTCGTTAATATAAGGCAACTAGAAAGGTGTTACAGCTGGTTCAAAGGAAAATCCAAAAAGCAAATATATTTATAGACCATTAGGAATGCTGACATGAATTTGCTTAGTAGATGCAAAACTTGCTGCTTCCACAAAGGCTGAGGAAAGTCAACCCAACCTCTATCAGGCAGAATTTGAGTTTCTAGAGACAGGAATTCTTTATATATTGCTACCAGTTTTCTACACAGTAATCCTATTTCTGCAGAATTGTAAAGAGCCCAGTGAAAGAAAATGAAAGGGAGAAAGAATCTTGATGAGTTAGTTAAATACTTCCAGCCTTTTCTACTTTATATAAGAATAAGGTAGGCCATGCAGGAGAGAGAGAGTGATCTTGGGTTACTAATCTCCTCTATGAATATGAGCACCAAAAACTTAAGGGAAATGTTTCTATTAATAGTTGTCACTTCTCTTGTTTCTGTTCCTGCCTGTGTAATTGAGATTGCCTCTGTTGAGAAGTCTTGCCTTGGAACAATCAAGTTAGTAAGAACTAATTTCATAGCTGCAGTAGAAGTCTTGGCTAAGTCATTTGGGATCATTATTATTTTTGGCAGGACTCCCAGTTTTGCTCTTAAAAGGTGTATAGTTATAAGTATTTTAACATTACAGATTCTGAACCTTGGGGGAGGAGAAGAATGGGCAAACTATAAACATTTAGCCATTCCAAATAGCCAAATATGCATAATACTTACCAGAGTATGCATTATTAAATATTTATAAATTATGAATTTTTATCAACCTATGTAATTGTTGTTGTTTCTTCAGGGATTAATACCACAATACAATTCAAATAACTTAAAATAAATTTCACAGGTAAAATAAGACTCCCTTATAGGAAATTCTATAGCCTTGCTATTCAAAATGTGGTCTCCAGCAGTACACTTGTTAGAAATGCAGTACCTCAGGCCCCATCTCAGACCTACAAGAATAGAATGGATATTTTACCAATACACTGGTGATTTGTGAGCCTTTTACAGTTGAGAAGTTTTGCTCTATAGTATTAAAACCTGAAAGTAACCTCTAATGTCTTGGATGTTTTCACAGGAATTGCCTATCTGTTTGCCAAAGTTTATCTGGTTTCCAAGAAACCACAGTACCTGGACACATGTATCTGGTGTGGGGAACTCACATAGCAGAAGGGCCTGCTAAAGAAGGTGCCAGGAATTTGCCACGGTGTAGCTGGCAGTGCCTATGTCTTCCTGTTGCTTTATTGGCTCACAGGAAACTCTAAATACATCTACCAAGCCCAAAGGTCAGCCATTCTTCACATGTATTTTTTGCAGATGTTAATCTAACTAACATTCTGAGTAGGTAGTCCTATCTAATAATAGACAAACATGGTAATTGACCATACCTTCGCTACGCCTCCCATTGGTTAATCAGCATGATATGCAAATTAACCACCAACAAAGATGGCAGCTAATTTGAATACTGCAAGCAGGGCAGGACAGCACCATCCCACCTGCCCTGCCCCCATCCGGGCCTGCTATCTGTGACCCGGGGAGGCGGGCATCCATGTGCGACCTGACCTGGGGTGGCTGGACGGTGCAGCAGCGATCAGCCAGCCTGCCCGGCTGCCATCCAGGTGTCCCATGTGCGACCCGACCAGTGGCGGCTAGGCAGGACAGCAGCGATCCCCCGGCCCACCCAGCTGTCCCATGTGTGACCCGACCCGGGGCAGCGCCCCAACCTCCGGATCGGCCCTGCCGTGTGCGCAACCCAGGGTGGCGCCCCAACCACCCGGATGGGCCCTGCCATGTGCGCAACCGGGGGAGGTGGGTTAGGCACCGGGGGATCGGGCCTGCCATCTGCCACCCGGGGAGCGGGCCTAAGCCAGCAGGTGGTTATCTCCCGAGGGGTTCCAGACTGTGAGAGGGCACAAGTGGGACTGAGGGACACCCGCCCACCCCCCTCCCCTGCCAGTGCACAAATTTTTGTGCACTGGGCCTCTAGTAGTTATAAAGTTTAAAAAATGTAAAAATAATATTTCAACTATGCACTCTTAATAAATGTATAACAGTATTTTTTATACTGTTTGCAATCTATGTTTTAAATAAACAATTTTAAGGGATACCTTTTCAGTTTGTATAGATCTATCTCATAATTTTAATGACTAATTACTAACTATGGATGTACCATGATTAATTTAAACAACCTTTAAGTAGTGGACATTTGTGCATGTTCAGTCTTCACTAATACAAACTAAATTGTCCCAAATATCCAGTACATACATTTCTATGCACTTGTGCAAGCATTTAATTTTCTTTTTCTTTATTTCTTTTTTTTTTTTGCAAGCATTACTTGCACGAGAAATTTTAGAAGTGAAGTCATTAGACCCATTTTATTTCTAGCCCATCTTTGCCCATTTTTCCTATTATGATGTTTATATTGAAGATTGTAACTCTTTGTCAATATACTCTGTCAATACTTTCCTACTTTGTATTTATCTTTCAATTTAGTTCATGGTCTTTCACCAAACCAAAATTTTAAGTATTTTTCTTGTCATAGTTGTCGAAGTTACAAGATTTTTGGATTTTAGATTTTTCTTAAAAAGACCATTCCCAATCTAAAATTACAAAAAGGGGGAAAATATTAATTTACATTGATATATGGGTTTGTTTCTGGACTTTCTATATTTTATCATTTATTTATTTCTAATTTTTCTTAGCTAGTCTCTAATTCTTCCAATTGTATTTTAGAATCAATTTTTCTAGTTAAAATAAATCCTATGACAATTTAATTGGAATTTCAATTAATTAATAGGTTACTTTAGTGAGAATTAACATTAGAATACTGACTTTTTCCATCCAGGAATCTGGTATATTGTCTGTTTATTTCAATTTTTAAAAATGTCATTTGGTAAAGTTTTGATCTTATGACGATCGTGTCTATTTCTTGTTAATTTTTTTAAATTCTTTATTAGTTAAGGTATTACAAATGTGTCCTCATTCCCCCCCCCCCCATTAAACCCCCATCCTTGCCTCCTCCTGTTGTCCATTTCCATTGGTTTGGCTTATATGCATGTCTTGTTAATTTTATTCCTAGTGTTTTATTTCCAGGTTTGTGATGGGAATCTTTTCCTCTACTATATTTTCATGTCATTTATTACTGGTATTTATGAAAGCTTTTAAAAACATACATATTATTGCAGTTTAGCAATCTAAAAGGCATTTCTTTCATATAAATCTGCATTTCATAACTACCTTAGTTTTGATAAATATCATAATGATATATCTGCCCACCTTACTGAAGTACATTTTCTATAAGATTTACATCATATTTCACTGGGTTTTCTAAATAGACACTCATATTATCTGCAAATAATTAAAATTTTGTTACTTCCTTTCTCATTTATATACTCTTTTTATAAAAATTTCTTATTGCTTGGGTCAGAGTCTCCTAAACAGTGTTCAGTAATAAGAGGGATAGTAAACAGCCTTACCTTTATACTGATTTAATTAGGAGTGCTTTTCTGTTTCACCATGATCTTTTAAATTCGCTTCTTATAATGTATATTTATGTCAGATTATGACATGCCTCTATTCATAATAACTCAGTGGCTTCCCGTTTGACTCAGAGTAAAAGCCAAAGTCTATCCTTTGAGCAAAATGCCCTAAAGGATTTGCCTCCCTGATATCCCCTATTTACTCTTCTTCTTGGTTGTTTCCACCATAGTAGCTTCCTTGTGATTTTGTTAGGATGCCAGGTACAATCTACCTCAAGGCCTTTGAAATTTGGTTCATTCTACCTGTAATGCTCACTTTTTACATATATCTTCCAGCACCCTCACTTCATTCAGAACTTCACTCAAAAGTAATTTTCTCCGAGAGGCCTTCCTAAGCCAACTTATATAATAGTCAGTGTTAAACATAAAATACCCTTTATGATATTCTTGTATATGCACTGAAGAAAAAATACTAACCTATGTAAGTCCTCTGTTTGAAGCTCCATTGTTTAGGAATTCTGTTAACATACTTTTACTCATGGCTCCCTAATCTGTTCAGGTTGCAGCCTTACCCTTAATTTCCCAAATGTAGAAAAAGAAAGTCATTTTGGATCTTATCTAGGTTAATGCTATATGACCTTTGGGATAAATTTCATCAGAGGTTGTCAAGCCCTAAAAAGCCTATTTAAAAAGTCAGAACAACCCTTTATTTTTCTGGCAGACCAGTTCTAGCTTACTGAGTCTTAGTTATAAAGTTCTGGAGTCTAGGCGCCTTTAGACAACTTAAATTTCTCACAGTCATAGAATGAAAATTTTCAGGTAATACCTGAATATTATGTGGACATTGCATTTAATTGCACAGAATACTAAAATTTCCACTTTATTATAATTCAAAGTTAAATATGGTGTGGCCCAAAATGGGGAGACTTCTTTCATTTTGGCAGTTCCTGAGACAATAATGTCAAACAATATGTACCTCTCTGGAATAATTATTACTTGGTCATCACCTATTACTCTTAACCTACAGTTGGAATTGATGGTCACAGAAAAATAGTTAACAACCTTTACTGTCTCTTCTATGAATATTTATTTTTTCAGGTTTACTATCTCTTCTTAAATTAATTTTTGGAAGTAAATATATTACTATAGAAACATCTAGTTTATATAGATTTTCAAATGTTTGAGGTAAGGCTCTAACAGTATAGTTCTATGATATTTTAAATCTTCCATATCATTGCTTATATGCCCCCTTTGAATTCCTAATCCTTTTCCTTTTTGGTCAGACACACCAGCATTTTGTCTATGTTGTTCATGCTTTCAAAGAACTGGCTTTGGTTTTGTTTATTAATTATTTTTGTTTTTCTCTTTTGCTTTCCAATTCATTATTTCCTGCCTATGTTTTGACTTTCTAGTGTTCCTTTCCTTTAATTTGTTATTTCCAATAGTTCAAAAAATATTAACTAGAATTCCATATTTTCCATCTTTCTAATTAAAAATTCAGATCAATGAATTTTCCTCTGAGTTTAGTTTTAGTCATAATCATCAGATTGTGATATATCATGATCTCAGTGTCTGTATTTTTTTAGTTTTATATTACCATTCTGACTTCTGTTTTGACAGAATTTTTTAGTAAAAGGAGTTTGCTAGCCTTAACTGGTTTGGCTCAGTGGATAGAGCATCAGCCTGCAGACTGAAGGGTCCCAGGTTCAATTCCAGTCAAGGGCATGTACCTTGGTTGCAGGCACATCCCCAGTGGGGGAGTGTGCAGGAGGCAGCTGATCGACGTTTCTCTCTCATTGATGTTTCTAACTCTCTATCCCTCTACCTTCCTCTCTGTAAAAAAATCAATAAAATATATATATTTTTTTTTTAAAAAAAGGAATTTGCTATTTTGAATTCTGCACCATTGTGTAGATTGTGTGGAAACAATCATTTTTACTTTAATATGATAACACACTATATACAATTAAACTGCTACTCTCATACATTGCTAGTACACTTGTAAATTGCTGTATATAATTTAGAAACTATTTTGAAAAGCACAAAAAGTTTATCAGATTATTATTAAGTAAAACAACATATGATACCAAATATTACCTTATACACACTAATATCAATGTCATAACTCAATTAAACTAAGGGGGGAAAGGTTGGAAGAAGAGAAAGCAAAATTAACTATGGGTTTCTTCTAAAGTATGGTGGAATGTTTATCTCTGTTTTACAAATGCTCTGCTATAATGTGTTTATGTGAAAAAATGAAATTTATCATGTATTGAATGCTTGCTATATGCTCAGAGCCTAACAGATAGTATCTTTAATCTTTACAGGTAATTATATGCAATTCTGTAACTTCATAATTTTAAAGTCAGATTTTAAAATTTTCCAAAGGTCATATAACATGAAATTACCAGAGTTGAGTATTGCAACTTCAAAGTTCTTCTTTCTACTACAGCAGGGCTTCTTAATCTGGGGTTTGTGAATTTACTTGAGAAAAGTATTACATCTCAAACTGAAATGTAGCATTTCTTTCAATTCTGAATGTAGGTAATAAGCCATAGGAAAATAGCAGTAGCTGTGACTCTGTCACCAGTAGAAGTCACAGATATTCACATGTCATCATATTACTCTTGTTACTGATATTGTGAGATTTATTTTACTCCCATCACTACTTAGCAATGTCCACAATTATTAACTCTACTACTGTTTAATGTGTTAATAAAGAAAACATATATTATTATATTACAAGTTTGATTTTTAAAAATTTTGCTGTTCTTTTTAATATAATTAATTCCCCTTGGAGTCCTATG